TTCACTGGTTTGATGACAATGGTGTAAGAGTATTAGTAGAGATTGTGGATGAGAGTCAGTGTGTACTAGTAATGATGTCCTGTAAGAAAGGTTACAGTGACAATATGGTGTCTGTAAGAAGAGATGTGATAGGAGAGGTAATGAGTGTTTATAAAGGATCCTGTCCCAGTCTAGAGGTAAAAGAGTTAGTTATTGATCCTAAAGAACTAGCCTATCCTGTGAATACACCAAGAGAAAGGACAACTTATGGCATATATAATGTACTGTTGGCGATTAAGAAAAGGAAACCATTTCTTGTGAATAATAAAGGACAAACAGAATTGAAGGAGATCCTTCCTGATGAATCATTATCAGATATTAGTAACCTGTCACTATTAGGAGGGCGTGATATTAAGGTAAGAATTAACACACACAAACTGTTTGATACATTAATACAAGCACTGATAATCAAAAGGTCATATCTTTATTTCTTATCAATTACTCAGTCTTTGTCATAATTGTGGGTTGTCATTGTGTGGCTTTTACTACTAATAATATATACTTGTACATCTCTTAAACTGACCTTTCAGCAATACACTACTGATGTATAATCACCTTGATAAACAAGCACAGTGACAAATATCAGTTATTATTATTATTATTGTTATTGTATAGGAAGTGATTGAAATAACTGAAGAATTCAAGACACCATTGACTCCAATAAAGCTAGGTATGTCATAATATGTACTATGACAATTGTCAAGTAGTGGGAGTGTAGACTGTACAGTGTATATACACATTATTAATTATTATTGTTATAGATATTAAAGATCTTGCTACTATCATTGAAGAACTAACAATACACAATCAATTGGATTGTACTAAATGGTATCAGTTCGGACTTCATTTAGGATTATATGATCCTAGACTAAAGGCTATAGATACTGACTATAGAGGAAAGACAATGGAGTGTTTCCGTGAGTGTATGTCTGCCTGGTTAAGAGGAGAAGATGGAGCGAGAGAGAAAGGATGTCCCAGTTGGTCATCATTAGCTACAGCACTGGATACAATAGAAGAGAAATCTATTGCTAGTTACATTAGAGATAAATATTGTCAATAATTAGTTAGTGGATGATTGTCTATAGTATTTCATTTTGTTCTGTTTATTATTATTTTTGCTGACACTTGCTGATTCATTTGTTAATTAGTTGAGTTGTAAAAGCTGAGCTGTCATCATGTACTAATTTCCCTATCTCTATAATTAGAATTATCACTGATACTATCAAACTATGTTTATTATCATTGGAATAGTTATTGTTAGTTTCAAACTATGTTTAGTATTAATTATGATCCTAGACAGTTGAATAGTGAAATGCATTGGAGTGTACTGTTTATAAATGAGTGTATCTGATTGATACTCCATGATTTGTTTGCATGTGATTATTTATCAGAAAATGTAATATAAATTTGGAGTGATTTTGGAGCCATATTTTGGAAAAAAACCATGGGCTATAATAGCCTTGGGTATTTTTCAGATTTTTGGATTTTTTTAAAAATGGCCGTAACTCGAAAAATTGAAGTCGGAATCGGCTCAAACTTTCTACAGAGCATAAGGATATTAATATGTATCAGAAAATGTAATAAAAGTTTGGGGTAACTTTGGAGCCATTTTTTGGAAAAAACCATGGGCTATAATAGCCTTGGGTATTTTTTAGGTTTTTGGCAGTTTTTAAAAATGGCCATATTTTGAAAAATTGACATCGGAATCGAATCAGTTCAAACATGCACGTGTAGAATAGCAAAAATTAATAATACAATTGTTTTATTATTTTATGTACTATCAGTGCAGTGGAAGAGTCTTATACTGAAACTTGGCGGTCATGTTACTGATGGATTTGACATGAGCTCATTAGCTAAAGTATCAGAGGGATACACTCCAGGACACATGATCACTGCAATAACACAAGTACTCACTGAAAGAAGAATACAACAAGTAATAATAATAATAATAATAATAATAATAATAATAATAATAATAACAGTCCTCCCCTCCCCCAACTTGGGGTTGCACTTTCTGAGTCCTGAGTTTGTTTCTTGTATAAGGTACTGGCTTGGGATTCCTCTTTCTGATTCGGGTCTCGATTGTTCAATATGTCTCCGTCCATCAGACCCCTATGGTGATCATGCAGTGGCCTGCGGTGGCAATGGTGACAGAATTTCTAGGCACAACAGTCTTAAGGCCGCTATACACCAGGCAATTCTATTGCAGGCAATCTGTGGTTACTTTGATGTTGTAAGCAATGTGTTGCCTAGAATAGAACATGTTTCTATTCTAGGCAACAGAGTGTTGCACTGTTGCCTGAAGATCAAAGTAACCACAGATTGCCTGCAATAGCATTGCCTGGTGTATAGGGACCTTAAGGGACATCATTTATTCAGCTGCTCAATCAGCTGCTCTGTCCCCTCGCAGGGAGGTCCCTTCACTGGTGCCTGGTTCTGTTTCCCGTCCCACTGATATTTTTATTCCATCCTGGTCCCTCGGTCAGCCAGCAGCAATGGACGTTACTGTAATCTCCCTGCTCCAGCAACTCACCCTTGATCGGTCTGCTTCTGATCGTGGCTATGCCCTCCTATTTGCTGAAGAGCGGAAGAACATCGTGCACTTTGAGGATTGCCGGAGAAATGGCATTTTCTTTCAGCCTTTAGCTATGGAGACTCTGGGTGG